TCCCTCGTACAGGTAATAGGGCTGCCCATGTAATTGCAAAATTTGCTTGTCATGTGTGTAGGATCACTACTTGGTCTTTACCTCCTGACTTTCTTATTCCTGTACTGTAAGAAGATTTGGTGCAATGAACTTAGCCTAAGGGCTGTTTCAAAAAAAATGTATTTTTAAGAAGGTAAACTTCAATGCTTGCAACAATTACAATCATAAAACAATTAATTTCAAAAATTCTCAACCATACGTATTTTTAATGAAATTAAATTTCAATAGTTGCTCTAGTTACAAGTCTTCAAACCAATAATTAATTAGGCTTCAAAAAAGCCAATCAATTTAAAAAGTTCTAAAAAAATGCTCTTTAGAAAACTTGAACCTACTATTTTTGAATTTTGAGAACCAAACTTAACCATTACTCTAGGAGGGGATTACTTGTCATTTTTTCCTTTTTCTTTTACAAATGAATATAAGAAAGAACTTTAATTTGAAATACCCCAACATGGGAAAACATGCTGACAAGTTTTTCATCCAAGAATTCAATTTTTCGATAATTTTTTCACCCACCATAAAAGAAAAAATAATTATTGATCTAAGAAAAGAATTAAAATGGCAAAAGAAAACAATAATCTTATGCTTTAAGAAATAACCCAGGATTGTATAATAGTCTTAGGGCTTGTTCATTTACTTTGAAATCTAATATCTAAAAGTGTAATAATTACATTGAGAGGTATATTGGTATTGGTGAACTGTTCTTTCCTCTAAACTCTGAATGCAGAGAATGTTGTTTTGAATTCTGAAAATTATCAAATATCCATTTTGACCTCATATATTAGAGTTTTTGTTTGTCTTTTTGAGGGTATCATTGGAAAAAAAAAACTTGTATGATTACACTTTAAGAGATGAGAGTTACGAAGAAACAAACAAGCCCTTAGAGTGTATTGTTAGGGATTGCAATGGAAAAGTTCTGGAGGTGATAGTAGAAAGAATCGTTCATACGTGCATCAATAGTCATAGCAGAAAGAGAAATGGTGCTAGGGTGCTAGCTCATGGCTCGCAGAGAAGCTGGGATGGACAAGCAATATGATTTAAAGGAGATGCTAAGATGGTAATTTTGACATCAAGAGGGGGCATAAAAATTATTTTTTCTCCTACTTGTGATTAAGGACTGGTTAGCCAATAGGGGTCAATCTCCAAAGTTAAGGTTAGAAGAAAATTATCCTTGGGACCTGTTGTATCTGCCTAATGGATTTGTGGGGATTATGGATTAATTGCATTTATTATTATTATTAATGCGTATTGCACAGTTGAAGGGGATGCATAGAAGGTAAAATCTTTGGCTGTTTGGACAAATAGTTAGAGTTTTTCCCCTAGAAGGTTTCAAATTATTGCCCTTTTGTAAATGAAGGATGGATGGATGCATGCATACTTCCTCTAAAGAGTCGAAATTGGTTAGGGACAAAATCATGCACACTAGGCTGGGCAACTTATCATAAATAAATATGTCACTGTTTTGTACATAGGACCTACACCTTGCACCAGTGGACCATTGGTGTTCACTCATGATAAATTTCTTGGTGCATATGATTTTGTCTCCAACCCATCTGATTCCTTACATTAGTGCTTGTACATTTCTACTATGCATGTTGACTGTCTTTTTATTTTTTGTTTTTACACATAATATATTAAAATTTTACATCCATTATGTTGTTAGATTCAAATATTCAATAATTCTATAGTTTGGCTTTTTGATTCTTGTTAATTGAATTTATAATAGAACTTGCATTTTGTTATTAAGCATTAACCATATATATATATATATATGGTATTTGAATTTAATTTTTATGATTTGAGCAGAACCCAAGGCAATATAACGAATATATATGGACCTGTAAGTTCCTTAATTTATTACGTGCTATCCACCAAAATCCACTGCTATCCATAAGAAAAAGAAAAGGAAAAACACCTGCGTTATATACCGGGCTGGGCGGGCTATCTTCCACTTGTTTCGTAGTAAAGAGTAACCTCTTGCCGACTTTGAAGACCCAATTTTGTTCTTGTTCCTTTTCGCTTTTCACGTTTCTCATAGAATGAGTAAATTGACCAATTCAACCAAAGCGAGGAACAAAATCTCAAAAATGTTTTGTTTTGATTTTACATATTCGATTCTTCTTTAGAGAGAGAGAGAGAATTGGGTTCTTCCAGTTCCATCAAAGAGATGTGAAATATCAACTTCTGAAATAAAAACAAACCCTCTACCCCGTACTATGCACACTCTTTCTGAACCAGTCCTTTTAGTGTGTGAAAATCGACAAAGTCATAGATAACCAACCACGTATATATTGGCATGTATATATAAATTTAGTGCAAGAAAATCCATCTCTTTTCTCTCTGTCTCTCTCTCCCCCTTTCAAAGGGATTGTTATCATCTAATAAGATTCGTAGGGTTCTAGTATTTATGAAGAAGGGAACGTGGCTCGTCTAAAAGAAAATCTACCCAAATACATTGTCAATAACTTCAGAATGAATACTGTCGTCAATTAATTACAAGATCAGCCACGGATAAACATCGATCAGACTGCAAATGAATTGCATCATCAATGAAGATAACAACCTTCCAAGTTTGTTAAAAATGAAAGGTTGGATGACTTTGTACATTTCGAGTGATAATTAATTTTATTTCCTAAAAGACAATGCAAGAAAAGATTGAATCAGTAATGCTTCATGCTTGAAATACTATGCCTTCGAATTTGAAACATCCTGAACACCAGAGATGTAAAAATTTGAAGTGAGAGAGAGGGAGAGGGAGAGAATCAAAGATCAACACAGGCATTCATGGGGATTATTGGGATCATAATTAAGCTTTTGAAAGAGAAACTTCTGGCTTAATAGTTCATACGAGTTAAAAAAAAAAAAAACAGCATTTAAAGGGACCGCTCTCATACGCGAAGGAAGCAGCTTTAACCCAGTTTTTGGCATTACAAAATTACAGAATTGGGACATGGGAGGGAGATGAGACATGAGAGATGGTATGGCCGACATGCTGCGTTACATCGACGACTCGACGTGTTGCTGCCGCTTTCTTCCATCAAAAAAAGTGAGCCGACAACAGAACAGTGGTGCAGAGTGTATGGAGTGCATTGGTCCTCTTGCAAATATGATTTTTTTTTTTAAATTATGTTTGAAGGAATATTATAAACAAACAAAGAAAATGCACAAACTACAGCTTTCAAAAATTTAGAGTTGCCAATGACCCTTTAACAACTAAATAAAGTTGTAGCTATCTATGAAAAGGAAAACCAATTTTCCTGTAAGGCATGTAGACTTTTATTCAGTTTGTACATTTCTATAGTCGGCTGCAAATTTTATTACCAACAGATGTTTTTTAGGCAGATTTAGATAATGCCCTCCAAATCAAGGACTTGCTTGAATATTTTTGTCTAGCTTCTGGTCAACAGATCAACCAAAGGAAGTCTAAGTTATTCTTTATCTCAAACATCTCTCAGTCAGAAAACTGGTTTTGGCCATCCTTTGGACTTCAATTGCAAGGTCTCAAGGAACCGTTCAACCTAAAAGCTAAAGCTGTTAAATGAGGTCCTTGAATAAGTTTTTTTTCTCCAACATGCTTCATGGTGTAACAACTCATCAACTTAAAGTAGACAATCATAAGCCTGCCTATACCTTATGTTGAAATTTAATTAATTATAATAAGGGTGATAAAGATTAAACATTAAACCAGTTGATCAAATTGACTTTGGTACCATTTCAAAGAATTGTTCAACCTAAAAGCTTTAGTTGATAAGTGAGGTCCTTGAATAGGGTTTTGTTCTCTACCAAGAGGGGGATTAGAGACTACTTGGGCCTCCAACAAAGATTGGCTCATGCAAGAAAGAAACTGTTTATCTCAGATTGAGGACAAAATCAACAGGACGTTGTCCAGATGGAAGGCCCGGCTGTGTAGCGCCAATTAAATCGGTTGCAATGGCAATTCTAACCTTCACCATGGAACCACTTCAAGCTACCTCAATACCTCAATACCTCTATGATTATATTAATAGCAAGTGTGCAAGCTTTTCCTAGGGCCAAAAGACCAATGAAAGGAGAATCCAATGGGTTAGTTGGCGTAGGCTGTGTGAAGCCAAGTTTTTTGGTGCTTCATGTGAAGATGGAGCCAAATGGGCCTTTTGGCAGGAGTAGGCTGTGTGATTCCACCCTTAGCAGAGGGGCTTTGGTGCTTCATGTGGCACATTAAAAGCTGCCCATAAACTTTCCAAATGTGATTTTGGAAACCACTGGAAGAGGGGGGGTTTATCAATTCGGGCAGTGTCGTTGAGCAGACCAAAGTAGACCAAATCCTCAACAATTAACACATAACATAGTATTGACTTTGAGTCCAAATTCTCTCAAAAATAAAATATTAAATATTGACTCAATTACATATATAATATATCTGCCTTGGCGGAGACATTCACTATGTGCAGAAATCACCAAAAACTCAATTTCCTTGCTAAGAAACCAAGTGCATAAGCATATAATTTAAGTTCCCAAAAGGTGCGTCATCAACCCATCCCAATATCCCATACGAGACAAATTGTAGTTCCAAAGAGCCAGGCTCTTTTTCGAAGGCTGCGTTTAGAAGGAGAGCAAACATAAGAATGTAAGGTTCGGTTTGAAAGGAGTATAAATGCAAATATGTAAAACACAAAATCTTGCATTTTGTATTATTTTATATGTATTTGTACTGTATAAATTTGTATTTATACTCCTTTCAAATTGAGCCTAAGGCTGCATTTGGTTGCAACGCAAACCCAAATATGTATATGTAAATACAGTTTACATTTTAAACCGTTTTTGCATTCATCTTGTTTGATTGAAATGGGTGTAAAGTGTGGGTCCATCATTAAATACTCCAACTATCTTCTACTCTAATACCTTAACTTTGGTAAAAAAGTTAAACATAATTGTATCCAAAAAAATAGATACAGTAATGTTTTCTTTCTAGAGTACAAAAGTGTCAGAAAATACATGTTTGCTCTAATAATCATTACTTTTTTACAACATTAACATCCAGTTCATGTGAGAAAAAACTCAACTAATTTGTTTCTGAAAAATGTAGAGTACAATACTTTTTTTTTATGTTTGGCACTTCCTTCGATACAAATACAATTTACCTTGGCAGAAGATATAACCGCTGATGTCTTCTCTATGATTCCTTCAATAAGATAAAAACTGTTACTCACTATTTTGCCAATTTAACCGCTGATATTTTAAAATACTGATCGTTAGCCCATTGAATAGAACACTTGGATCATGGATGGTCTGTGACATATTCCATTCAATAAGATAAAGCTGGTAATCTACTAAAGTCTGTGACAAGTGTTATGGAGAGTCAGCTGGATCCACGCCGAACCATGTTCTTTTGCTATTTCTTTCAGCAACTTCAGTTTTGCTTCATCAGGAGGGGCACGAACAGACAACAATTCAATTAACTGGAAGAATATATTATGCTGCCCATTAGAAAAAAAGAAGGCAAAAATGTCCAGCAAAAACTTCCTATGGATATCAAGTAGGTTCACAAGATCCATAGCAGAAATCTTCTTAGAACCTATACCTAAGAAACCACAAGAAAAGGCAAAAAGGAATAAAACCATCATAAGCTAATTCACCCTAGCAATAATCTCGTCCCACTACCAAGTCAGTTTACTATGGAAACCAAGTTAAACTTCAAATGTGAATCCTAACACGTCTATACATGCATACACATTATGCTTAACATATCTAGAGTGTCTAAAGCACTTGTGAGTAGTGAGTTGTGCGGTATCATTTTATACTTGAAAAAAAAAAAAAAAAAAAACATCTCTGTATAAGAGAAACAAATTGGGAATCCATTAATTTAGAATAAACCAGTTATTTAGAAAAAATTCATCGAATCTAGTTAAAGCCCAACTACTTACAGTTTCTGATTGTTAATAGACAAAAGTATGCATGTATGGTCAATTTTTCGATATAGAACAACTTATGGATTCTTTCTATGGTGGTTGAATGATGCCTAATATGGTGAGTCAGGATGACATGATGATACCAAGCAGCTGCCCAAGATAAGTATTCAAACAACCAAAAGAATGGTATTAACAGTGATACAAAGAAAATAGAATACAGAAACTCAGGTTCTAGGAAATTCTTTTTTTTTTCCTGTTTTAACTGGTCCATTGAACAGGGGGTTCCACCCCTCTTCTTCCTTCTACTTCTTCCTCAATGGCAGGGATTCAGTCAAAATGGTATCACAGTTTAGTCCTAGAACTGTTGAGATGGAGCATAGAATCTGTTCTTTCTAACCTAGTAGTGAGTAATAACTAAAAAGATCTATATGGGTTCTGAAGTTACACATTTTATGTGGTTGTGGTGAACAAGAAGGTTAACCATACTAGGTTGAATGGTTGAGTCTTGAATGATGGTGTCAAAATTCCAGTTATAATTAATAAAGTTATGCAAGTGTCTAAAAACTATCACAAGTTTTTTTTTTTTTTTTGATGAATTAAAAACTAGCACAAGTTTACAACAACAAAGCCTTATGCCAAGTATATGGAATTGACTATACATATACTTGTAATCTTCATTGCCTTATCCCAATTATGAAACAGTATTTCCTTTTAGGAACTTCTCAACGTAGATAGCAGCAGTTCAAATACTGCTACACACCTAGAGTTTCCTTCCAAATACTGCTCGTAATAGCAGAATCTCATTTCAAGGCCTCAACTCTACATGGACTTCAAGAGCAAAAGCCTCCCATACCTTCCAAATACTGCTACACACTTAAGAGTTTCCTTATCTTTTGCTTCTTGGAGTTCTCATAGTACCTCAGTCTGAACTCTTTTAAGTAATTGCTTCATCCTATCTTGGAGTTATAGTATAATTGAGTGGCTCACTCTACCCTATTTATGTTACAAGGGGCCATAACTGGGAAAAAAAGGTTTTTCCTTCAGTAGATCATCTCTTATAAAACATGGGAGATGGGACAAAGAATAGCTGTCCATAACTCTGGGTGATTTAAATTTATGTATTTTTATCTCTGAGTAGAGGGTGTTCATGGATACCCATTTACTGACTGCTTTTCATCTTTTAATCTACTGTCCTTTTGCTAACTATATTTAGGAGTAGTTTTCCTCTGTGTTTGGATGCAGCTGGACTCCTGTTAATCTGGAATGATTCTTTAATTCTCACACTTTCAGGTGCTCTAAAAGAAGATGAAGGATTATGGGAAGGTGCAGTAGAGCAGGAGCAGCAGTGTCTTGGACAATTTAGGAAGAAAGAAATCCAAGGATTTTTTATGACAAGGAAAGAAGCAAATAAACTCTAATCAAAGTGATAACTTTAAGGGTGGCATATTGGGTGAAAACATTAAAATTGTTTGCTGAGTTCAAGAAAGAAGATTTCTTCAGGTCATGGGGAACAATTGCTAACACTGCATCTAGAAAATCTATAACAAATGAGGTCTGGTCCTCTCCGGCTGCTGAATGGAAGAAATTAAATTTTGATGGTAGCTGTTTGGTAAATCCTGGCCCATCAGGTTTGGTGGGGTAATAAGGGAAGAGAATGGCAATATTTTAGCCAATGTTTTAAAATGCGGAGGCATGACGTGAGGTGTTGCAAGAGGCGTAAGCATTCCGAACAACCTCCTTAAGAGGAGGGGGGTTAGGAGGAGGATGAAGAGGAAGGGGGGATCTCACTTTTTCTTTATTTTTAATAAAAATCTTTTATATTAAGAAGAATAAAGATGCATAGCATTAGTTCAAAAGGGGGCTCTTATTGAAGTGGAGCAAGACCCCCCCAACTCAAAAAAAACAAATTGGGCTGCATCGAAAAGGGGGCAGGGGGCAAATCACTTTCTTTCCCCTTATCTTTTCTTCCCTTCCCTTTCCTTTTCTTTTCGTTCCTTTTCTTTTTTTTTCTTCTCTTTCTTTTTCCTTCCCTTCCCTTTCCTTTCCTTTCCTTTCCTTTCCTTTCCTTTTTTTCTTTTTTCTTTTTTTTCTGTCTTTTTATATCAGATGTGCATGCCTCTTGCACTTAAGGCGTATGCCTCAGAGGTGTCAGCGCCTCTAGCATATGCCTCAGGCTCGCCTGGAGGTGCCTCCGGGCATATGCCTCCCACGCCTTTTAAAACACTGATTTTAGCCATGTACTCAGGTCCTATTCAGCATGGTGATGTGATGAGATCAGAAAAGATGGCAGCAGTGTATGGTGTTGAAAAAGCTAAAGCAATGTGCATTAACAGGCTGATTATTGAAGGGGACTCAAAGATTGTTGTATACTGGTTGAAGAAGGGAGGAGTAATATGGAAGCCAAGGAATGAGCTTAGGCGCTTCAAGCAAATAGCTAACAGCATGGCTGATAGACTAGCTAAACAAGGAATTCAAAGACAATCTATGTTCTGGGCTGTTTTGCAATTAGTGGAATATTTCTTTCGGGCTTCTTTTTCTGCCCACAACTTCTTGTTGTATATGCTTTTTTAATCTAATGAATAAATTCTGTATTGCTGATCAAAAAAAAAAAAGGATACCCATTTACACACATACCTGACCCCACTTGCAGGGTCTTGTGGACATTGAATTCTGTAATTAGATTCTTTAGGTCTCAGAACTGTTAGAGTAATGTGCAAATCAATACTTGGTTTTTTCGTTTTTTTTTTAGAGCTATTCTTGGTTTCCAGGTATCCAACATATTACTATATGAATCTTGTGGGATCCATCGATCCATTAGGGCTGCAAGTCAGGCTGGGTTAGGTCGGGTTGAGGCCAACCCTAGCCCAACCCTAAGTTCCAAACCCCCAACCCTAACTCTAACCCAACCCTAACCATAAGCCTAACTAAATTCCTTGAACCCTAACCCAACCCAAAGTCAACTTCGGGTTAGGCCCAACCCAACCTTCTTCCCATCCCTTATAATCTCATAGAACTTCTTAATCTCAGATCTTAACTCAACTTTCACTATATATATTTAATCCTATGTTTTATTGGTATTTGTTTGTTGATGTTTTTATTGGTTCTTTAAGTACAAAATTCAGAAAAAAAAGTGTTTGAAATGACTATAGTTTATCATTTCATAGTTTATTATGAGTTATGACTTATAATAGATCTTTTATGGGCAGCAAGCTATGGGTGGCAAACAACAGAGAGAAGATCAAGAATAAAATATTCAGATTTCAGAAAACATAAAATATGTTATTAAGGTTTTAGTATTTTCAAAAGGTGCATGTCTGGGTTGAAGTGCAAGGCACACCAGGCATGTGCCTTTTGAAAATGTTGCACCTAAGACCTAGCGAGATGCATACCTTAAAATGTGCCTCGTCTGTGCGCCTAGGTGCACTTGAGGCACGCCTTTTAAATCACTGTGATGTACCAGAATTTTCAACTAATTTAAGCCATTAATGTGATGTACCAAATTAAATTAATTATTTTGGTTGTCTAAGTGATGCACTGGATTTTTCACATGGTAAACATGTGGAGACTCAGTAACTTGATGTATCTTATTAGTAAGTCCCCGTTGTATATTGCTTATACATCTTATTCTTCTTTTCTCTTTCAGCCCTATATGGGCATTCTTGTAATTGTACATATCTTTTAATATATAAGAGACTCTTTGCGGTGGGGGTCGATTATTCTTGACACCTCTAAGAGTATTCTTGTTCTTTTCTCTATTCAGCCAAGAGTGTTGACATGGTATCAGAGCAGGTTGCTCTCTGATCTATTTTCTCTCTCTCTTGAACTTCACTAGAAGCAGTAATCCTGTTGTATTAGGGCTGTTTTGGTCAACCCTTGTCTGTTTAGTCTTCTTTGCGCAACCAGCAGGAGAGATTTCATTAGGTCTTTCTTCGGAGACATTGGTTCGAGGCCAAAATTTTATATCTGGTGTCACCTAGACCTGATCTATTTTCCCTACAAACAGCATCTGATTTGGTGAAGTTTTCGAGGGAGTTCTGATCTTCTTGGGGCGGCAACACTGTACAGTTTCCTTTTTCGGACTACAACAGCTTTGGACTTCAGATCTGGTGTCACCTAGACCTGATCTATTCTACCTACAAACAGCACCTGATTTGGTGAAGTTTTCAAAGGAGTTCTGATCTTCTTCTTGGGGCAGCAACACTATACAGTTCCTTTTTTGGACTGCAACATCTTTGGACTGCAGGCCTTCTACGTCAGCCTGCGATTTGAGTTTTTCTCTCCAGATTGAAGGGTTCTCTCAAGCTCTTCTTAACCCTACACTCAGTTTCTACTTTGGAGATTTCTAAGGACTGTTTCGATTAACACAAGATACCTCATTGTTCTTGAAAAAGACGCCTGATGTGTTGGTAAATCACAGTTTTCTCTCAATTGGATGACTCGATTAACCTATAACCCTAGATCTGGTGTCGTCCTAGGGTTTTCTTGCTTCCCATTTGTTTGATTCAGACTTCAGATTCATATTTGAAAGGTTTTAGGTGGCGTTTGATTAC